TCTTGACTATACTTAACGTAGTTCTCTGCTTAAAGTCTTATTTATTTAATGGCACATTCGTAAATAAACTATTTATGTCAAAACTTACCAAAGTATTATTTGAATTAAATTCAATATTTGATAATTTATTTAAAAAATGTTGTGTATTTTTTATGAATGTTGTGTCATTTTTATTTGTAAATGGTTTTAAAATATTTAATAAAAATTTTGATAGTTCACTACAAGGAGAATTCATGGTACTACAAATGGGTCTAAGTGGTATATTCGTTTTATAAATTTTCGGTACTCCATAAAAATGAGGAGAGGTGTAATTAATCCTCTCTGATAACTTGTTAAAAAATCTTTAAACTTGAATAAAGTTCTATATATTTTGTTTTCCAAAGGCTTTGTTGGATCTTTTGTTAATTTTGTATAAGATCCGTTTATTATTCCATCTTTAATTTTGTTTTCATATTGAATCTTATCCATTATCACAGTTGCATTCCCCTTGTCTGCTGGTAGGATGATTATGGAGTCGTCATTTTTTAAAGTTCTTATAGAAGAATTTTTCAATATGTAACAAAAAACAAAATTTGTTTAATTTATTGTTTGTATTTTGAGAACGATTTCCGAAGTGGAAATTGAAACGTCAATAAACGTATTTTTATCTTTAATTGTGGCCTATTCCCAGTTAAATAGTAATTAATGATCTTTTTTATTTTGTGCGTCCAAAATATAAAGAATATAAATGAATATAAAATGAATATGAAAGGATATAAAATATAAATGAACTCTCAGGGCTGTTCTACATATATTTTGATTAAAAAACGGGTCTACTAAAACCGATTAAATCAGTTTTTATTAAGTATAAAAATATTTATTTTTATTTTCAACATCTACTAATATTTCAGCAAAAATGTTTCCTGCGGGAGCGGTCTCACAACAAAGACTACTTAGTTGCCATTTGTGCCCACTCTTCAGTTCTATAGATTCTTTTGCACTTTGTACTACAATAACAATATGAATTTGATTACACAAAAGAAGAGAGCACAAAAAACTCGTCTTAAGGCTAAGTACCTTTCACCAACTAATTATATCGATTGAAAAGCCAATCAACGATGACTAATTGTTATATAGAAACGACCTCTCTAAACTGTATTCCGATTGATGGCCACGTTAAAAATTATTCTTAAATCGACAAGCAGCTACCGGTATTTTATGGATGAAGTACGCGATTTACGCTTGTGGTGATTTGTCTTTGTCGATTTCCTGTGGAAAAAACGCTTCCTGCTTTTGCTGTGATAATTAGACACCCACCCAGAGATACCAATAATCAATAATATGCTAAATATTGTCGTAAAAAATGGTTATTGATTCGGCTGGCCTTGCTTGATTGCTAGACTAGAAAATCGATTGTGCACATGTCTTAATCTATGTCCTATATTGTAATATGTTTGTAATTAGATTGAAAGATCTATTTATCTATTTACGAAATCTCATTATAAATAGTCTATTATTCAGGTATGTAGCAACTGCATACAGGGCGTGTTTTGATAACACAGAATAGTGCATACTTAAGCCGAAAATGTAATTTTTTATCAAACTAAACTAAAGAGACAAATTTAATGAAATATATAATAAATTTATACACAGAGTGGTCCAAAAGTCTGGAAACGACCAATTATCTCGTAAATTGCTAGTCATAATTTTACAAAATTTGAGGTACACCTATTTTGGGATACGGAGATTCCATATTTGATATTTGCAATGTTGCCAGATTTGCCGTTTCTCTTATTAGTAACCTTAGTGTTTCAAGTTCATCACCCAGTATATTCAGTCATTATTGGAATCTCCTATTCAGTATAAGTTCAACTATATGTAACATTTATAATTTTATGTAGTCTGAAAGGTCTTAAATACATAAAACAGTGCAAAATATGTAGATTTTAATAATTTTAAATATTTAAATGAATTCAATATTGAAACCCATCACCTATTCGTCGACTTCAAGGCCGCATACGACAGTGTCAAGAGAACAGTGCTATACCAATCAATGCATGAGTTTGGAATACCAGAGAAACTTATCCGACTAACGAGAATGACAATGTCTAACTTAGAAGCCACTGTTAGAATACAGGGAGAGAGTTCTAGATCCTTGAGATAAAGGATGGACTCAGACAAGGAGATGCTCTGGCTTGCTTCCTATTTAATATTGCCTTAGAAAAGGCAGTCCGAGATACACGAATTAGGGATGGCGGTACTATTTACAATAGATCGATACCAGTCTTAGCATATGCTGATGACATTGACATAGTAGGGCGTAGCAAGCGAGATGTTGAGCAATATCTCCTAGAATTGGAAACAGCGGCGAAACAGGTCGGTCTAGTCATCAACGAAGACAAAACCAAGTACATGTTGGTTACAAAGGATCCGATAGCAAATGAGGAACGAGAAACAGTCTTTGGAAGTCATACCTTTGGACGTGTTGACAACTTTACATACCTTGGGTCGCTATTGACTGCTACCAATAAAACAAGCGAAGAAATCAAAAGACGAATAAATCTTACAGATAGGGCATACTATGGAATCCAAAAGCATTTCCACTCAAGAAACATTCAAAAGAAGAACTAAAATTATTATATACAAAACATTGCTGAGGCCGGTCCTCACATATGGAGCAGAAACATGGACACTAACGCAGAAAGATGAAAGACTTTTGGGAATATTTGAGCGTAAAATACTCCGCAAAATATTTGGAGCTGTAAACGACCAAGGGCAGTGGCGCAGAAGATATAATTTTGAATTGTATCAGCTCTTTGATGAGCCAGATGTCATAACGTTCATTAAAACACAGCGACTTAGATGGGCTGGTCACATAATACGAATGCCAGAAAATACCATTGCTAAAAGCTAACCACAGGAACACCTGTAGGAAAAAGAAGTAAAGGCCGACCGCGAATTAGGTGGTTAGATGGAGTAGAAGCCGACTTACGAATATTAAAAATCAGAAGATGGCAACATGTTGCCAAAAACCGAACAGAATGGCGACGAATCTTAGAGCAGGCCAAGATCCACAGAGGATTGTCGAGCCAAAGATGATGATGATGAAATATTTAAATGTAGAATGCTGTGATTTTGACATTTGTTTACCATTTACATTATTAACCCTTTGGTGCACGGTTGATACTTTGATACACGTAAGAACGGGTTGGGTCTGAGAAGACCAAAAATTAAACTAAAAATTGTTTATATTTATTATTTTTTTAATTTTGTAACAACAGGTTTGCGTTGCATATATTAGAACTATTACTAAACAACTTACTTACATACATTAAAAGAAAATAAACTATTATAACACTAAAACTAAAATATAAAAGAAATTACATACTACAATATGACCGATGTTTAAAAAAACACCTCGCATATAACTTATTCAGTCATTTTATCAATGCATAGGCGATAGGTACGGTATGTTCCAAGCAAATATATTTTTAACAATAGTGACACATGTATCGAGTTTTACGATCTCTACAAAAAGTACAACACTCCCTTTTATTTTGCAATTCCGCAGGTGATTGCACTGGTCCCAACACCACTGAGTTTAGCAGCAAGCTCTCTTATATCTCGTGCCAAATGAGGAGATTAAGCTCTTTCTTTTATATTGTCCATTACTAACCGAAGACCTAGTTCTTTAAAAAAAAATCTTCGTCTTTTGCTTGTTTTTAGATCTAGTTTGTTAGTTTTCTGTATCACAAATGCATTTATTGTAGCAACATCAAGCAATCCATAAAAGATGACCATGGGCCAACGTTTTGTATTTCTTGCGACAGTATAGGAACCTCGAAGTTGATAAACCGTGTCCACACCACCTTTCGTAGAGTTATAGAACGTTGTTACTTCAGGTTTACTTTCGTCACACGTTGTCGGATCGATTTGGTCATCATGGTGTAGGGTTGACAAAAGAACAACAATTTTTTTTTGGTTTTGCTATATAGGACAATATCGTCATATCTTTGGTAAATCGAAACATAGTTGATTTTGGCGGTCTATTGTCCAATAAAACTTCGGTTGGGATATGCCTTTTGTTTTTCCGTAGGGTGCCTACAATTGTTAGACTATGATTTGTCAGTAAGTTTTGTGCGACTTCAATTGATGTAAACCAATTGTCCATTGTGACATTCCGGTTGGATTTGGAGATTGGTTTGCAAAGCCGCTCATCCACATCGTAGGCTGCAGAACTGATAGAATATGGATCTGTTTTTTGTGTACCGGCATAGATTTCTAATTGTTAAGTATAGAAAGTGCGAGAATCCACCAAAGAATATACCTTCAGACCGTATCGGTCCGGTTTGTTTGGAAGTTATATTCTAAAACTACAGCGACCTCTAAAGCCTAAAAGCATCTGATCGATAGTGACATAGTGGTCAATGCTATAATATTTT